TATACTATTTTCTCAGCATTTCACTGGTCCACTAGTTTAGTCACTTTGTCAAAGAATGAAATAAGATTGGTTTGATATGATCTGTTTTTGACAAACCCATGTTGGCTTCTGATTATAACTTTGCTTCTAGGTGTATGCAAATTTGTTGTTTGAATATCTTTTCCAGGATCTTCCCAGAATGATTGGTCTGTAGTTTCCTTGGACTGGTTCCCCCCCCCCCTTTTTTTTAATATGGGAACCACATCAGCTTTTTTCCAGTATTCAGGTAGTTCCCCGGTGCTCTAAGAACTTCGAAAGTTATGGTACAATGATTGCAAGATCATATCTGCCAGTTCTTTCAGAACTCTGGGATATAATCCCCCTCTCCCCTCAATACCATCAAGGCAATTAACACCTGAGCAATTCCAGATATTAGTTACATAGTTGTAATAATGGACTAAAGCAAAACTAAAAGCCCTGAATAGGAAGACCAAAAAATAATGAATCACGGCATTCACCCCCACAGCAACTTTGACAGACTGTATATACAGTAGCAAGGAACATTGGTAGGTGTGGAATATTGCAAGTACATCAGACAGTTGAAGAAGAAAAAAGGGTATTGGAAGAATATCTGAAGGACAGGGAAGAAGACTCACTGAAGCATTAAACCATGAAGGCTTACTGAATACCCAAGAGATTATGCTGGCCTAGAAGAAAGATAATAAAGAATAAAGAAAGAAAGAATAGAAAAGAAACATAACAAGGTAAAATATTACATGGCCAGTACATTTTTAAAAAAGGAGAGATAACAAGAAGTCCTGGCAATGGCTAAAAGCAGGAAAATTGAAGAAAGAGACAGAGGGACTAATTCTGACTGCACAAGACCAAGCCTTAAGAACAAATGCATATACTGTAAAGTCAAAATTGAGAAGAAGCAACAGATAGCAAATGCTACTTCTGCAAAAAAAAAAAAAAAAAAAAAAAAAAAAAAAAGGGAAAAAAAAAAGGGGGGGGGCATCTAGTTAACTGCTGCAAGAAGACTGCACAGACTGACTACAAACAATGGCATAACAAAATAGCAACAATGGTGTATTGGATGTCTGCAAGAAATACAGATTTTTCTGCAAGCAAAAACTGGTGGGACCACCAAAAAAAAAAAGTAATAGAAAATAAAGAAGCTAAAATGCTTTGGGATTTTAGAATTCAAGTTGCCCCAGACTTAATAACTGTCAACAAGAAAGACCAAAAAAGTCTGGATGCTGGATATTTCAGTACTTGGAGATAGCAGGCTAGAAGAGAAACAATTGGAGAAAATCACAAAATATGAATACCTGCAAATAAAAATACAATGACTATGATAAAAGACAGCAAGGTACCAATAGTAATAGGTGCCTTGACTAAACATCCTAAAACATATGGAGTACTACTTGAACACCATTGGCATTGACAAAATCTCCCATTAGTCAATCACAAAACACAGCTTTGCTTGGAATAGCTTACATGTTACAATGGTACCGTAAGGGAAGGTATATGCATTAATATCATCAAACAGCAACTGCCTATCCCAGATCCTTGGGAAGGACTCCATAAGTGGCTAAAAAATGCCAGTTTGTCTGAATATGTGGCTGTGCAATCAACCATAATGGTAATAATGAATTTAATTTATTATTAATTAATTTACTTAATAATAAAGAACAAAAGCATGCATTGACTGATAATTTAAAAGACAGCCAAGAACAACCATTGATGCAAGTTACTTACTGTAACTTACTGAATGTACAGAAAACAAAATATGAGTATTAAAATAATAAAAACATGAACAATATGCTGGCAAGGAAATGGTTTAAATGGTCAATGTCAGACCTGCCCCAACTTAAACATTTAGGAAAGAAAGAGGTGACAGACCTGACAGTCAATTTCTATGAAAGATTGAAGGAAAAGTGGATGAAAATGAAGCCTGGAACTACAACTGGAACATTAAAAAAAAGAACTGAAGGCTTGATTTTGGCTGCTCACAAGAGCAAGCTATTCAAGCTAATTTAGGCCAGAATTTGAAAAAAACACCATCAAATGATTTTGGGAAGATTATACATAGAAGCAGATGGAATAGTAGTTCAGATGTTCAGTTCATATGAGAAGATCACACAAACTGATTATAAACAATGACATAACACCGTTGCCAAAATGATTCATTTCAACATTCGTAAAAAAGTTACCATGTGCCAATAATGAAAAAATGGTACGAATATATAGTAAAAAAAAGTAGCTGAAACTGAGCAAGTTAAAATATTGTGGGATTTCCAAATACAAACTGATGAAACCTTGTCCTATAACATATCAAATTTAACTGTGACTTAAAGGAAGAAATTATTGATAATTGATGTGGCATATGATAGAATAAAAGACAAAGAATTGGAGAGAGTATCAAGGTCTGAAAATCAAAGTTGAAAGAGTATAATAGCATAAACTGGCCATGGTAGTCCCAGAGGTTACCAGTGCACTGGATATCATATTAAACATCGCAGGCAGCACTTAGAAAATCTGCACACCAACAAAATTGCCATCTGTCAGTTACAAAAGGCCACACTGCTTGGACCTGCATGTATACTACATTAATACATTACAACGTTCTAGGTTTTTGGGAAAAATTTTGTACCTATGAAGGTTGATACTAACTAAAGAACTGCCATCTTTAGGAACAGTACAGAATAATAAACTACTGGAATGGTGCGACTGTGTAGGACACTGAGGTGATGTTCCAAGGGCTGACAGTCTTGAAATGTATGTTTACCATGAATACATGTTTCTATCCAGGAGTGGGCTTCAAAAATTTTAGAAAGGGGTTCTCTGCCCGGCTGCTGGGTGTGTATGACCATGGTGGGCATGGCCTAGTTGGCCTCCTGCACCATGGTGGGGGAGGGGCGATTTTGCCCTCCTCGGGCTCCGGAGGCTTTCCTTGAGCCTCGGGGAGGGCAAAAACAGCCTCCCGAGTCTCTGGAGGCCCTCTGGAACTTCCCAAACTCTGGAGGCCTTCCCAAACTTCCGGTAGGCCCGTTTTCCCCCCTCCCTGAGCCTCTGCGTGCACCCTGCACTTACCTGCATCCAAAATGGGCCGCTTGGGGACTCCTGAGAGGGGCGGAGTGGGATGGGCGGGGCCAGCCAAGGGTGGGATTTGAGGGTTCTCTGAACTGCACAGAATCTTAGCTAGAGGTTCTCCCAAATACCTGCTAACCCCCAGCAGCCCACCCCTCTTTCTATCCCCTCAACTAACAGCTGATGCAGGCCGTTGACTTGCTTCCTTATTTAGTCTTCCTTCCTACCAGGCCTCACTGAAGATGTTCAGTCAGACCTGCATTTTGATTTCTTCAGGGCCTTTAAATAAGCATGGGAAAGTGATAGTGGAAATATTTGGTCTAGTGGTTAAGGCACTAGGGTAGAAACTAGGAGACTATGAGTTCTGCCTTAACCATGAAAGCTGGCCAGGTAAATTTGGGCCAGTCACTCTCGCTCACTCCAACCCACCTCATAGGGTTATTGTAGGGAAAATAAGAGGGAAGAGCATTATGTATGTTCACCACCTTGAGTTATTTATAAAAATAAAATATTTATTTTTACAAAATGAAAATGAAAGTATTATTATGAAAATAATAAAGATGAAATAAAATAATAATAAATAAATGTGAGAAAAAAATAAAAGATAAGAGGATCTAGGACACGGGTTTCCAAACTTGGCAACTTTAAGACTTGTGGACTTCAACTCCCAGAATTCCTTAGCAAAGCAAAGCTGGCTGAGGAATTCTGGGAGTTGAAGTCCACAAGTCTTAAAAGTTGCCAAGTTTGGAGACCTCTGATCTAAGACATGGAACATGGAAGGACTTTCATCCTGTATGCTCGGCAATGCTTATAGACTTTAGAAGAAAGTACAGTAATGTTTTTCTAAAGTTTCAATAAAAATACCTTTTCAGTACCATACAAAGCAAGTTATTGCACCAATAGCAGATATTAAATATTCCCTCCAGCACTGTATAGCCACTCTGAGTGGAAAGGTTAAGTATTTCTCTTTTTATGACTTCCTATCCCCCGGTGGCAGGTATTTAACGAGGGGAAAATCTGAATATATAAAATGCTATTGCACCTTTTGTATAAGATATTCAACAAACCAGGATTAGTGAAATGTAATTTGATTATAGCCCAGCTTCCTCTCTCACTTTTTTCCTGGACTCGGCATAAGAAGAGAGGCTGCGATTCTACCATTGTAACAGCATCTTGCCTTTTTTGAGCCTCCAAAAGATGTACCTGCCTAAGCTGATTATTTCAGTGCCTTCACATCTATGCATCAGCAAATAAATATAGAGAGCACCCACTGTTTTATAGATTCTTTGCCCTGTCAAAAAGATAAGTGCTTGGGGGGGAATATCTAATTATGAACACAGGAAATACACGTTTGTGGATCTGTGTTCTGTGTGTTTTGCCTACATGCAGTCAAATGCATAGTGACAAGCCTAGTTTTGCTCCTGTGTGATGTTTGAAAACTGATTACATCTCTTACATTGAGCAGATGCTTGGACACTGCAGTCGTTGTCAGCTTGACATCCTGAAGGTCAGCAGGAACAGCTTCTAATGTACTGCTTCTGCTGGCTAAGAGGGAGGGGAAGCACCAAGTCACTTTCTCTTTTTCCTTCTCCACTGAAGAATTTGAAGCATTCACCTGTGCTTTTAATGCTACACTGAGTATGACTAGACTTCCCAAAGGTCATATTTCTCCCAATCTTTTTACCATCACTATCACAAACCTCCATTCATCAAAGATCACTTCTGGAAAAAGGTGTCCCAAAGGCTTTTAGAATCAAAAGTGTTAGCTCAAAACCATAAACAGGATACTTTATTATGTCAAAATAAGCCATCTGGCTGTACAACTGTTTCTAATTACTTCCCAGCCTAGACTGTAAAGTTCAGGGTTTGGCACTAGCCTTTCCTTCCAGGATGCTACCCAAATCCAGCTTCCAGACAGCTAATCAAAGGCACTTGGTGGAGCACAGTGGGGGAAGGAGCTGGTTTTGGCCAGCTCAGAACATAGCAAGCCGAATGGGTCTCTGTGTTTGAACTCTCCAGGAGAACTCTTACCGCCGCCCTTGGATTTAATCATGCATACAAAGGGCTTTCTCGGCTTGGTGCTGCTGCTATTCGCCTCTTCAGTCTTCATTTTGTTGCCTGCTATTCCACAAAGTTCATCCTTGTCCCCGCGGTAAGCTCTATCAGTCTGCTTTAGCAATAAGCTTTCAGGTCTGGACAACAGGGTGCAGGGAGAAAGTGCTGCTAAATAGAGAGCGTCTATGGCTTGTTATTTCCTCAAACTGCTGCTTGTCTCTGTAAATTTAAGCAGAAATCCCGTTTTGATGCAAAAACAAATCTCTTGATGTACCGTTTGTCTTACATGCCGTACATCAATACTCCGAATGAGTGGGGATAGGCTAAGCTGGTCTTGAATTTTGAATGTAGTGCCCCCTTGAGTGCAAAAGGGGACTTTCCAAAGTGTATCTGGGTCTTTAAATAGTTTCCATTTAATCTGATCTACTCATTTATAAACTTGCCGGTCAGGGCTGCCAGTTTCATGCTATTCCATTTAAACTCATGTCTGCTAAAAGCCCTGACTCAGAAATACCAATAATAAAGAAATGCATACATCTTCAAAAATTCTGGTTATGAGACTAGCAATGTATCCAGGAGTACTGAAAAGACCCTGGCCTGGCATTTGTATAGCCTTGAATGTTTACCTCTATACTTAAAACCTGGGATAGGACTTGAAAGTTTTGACACCTTAGTGGTTCCTTTATCTAGATTAGTCTCTTAAAATCAATCCCATTAACAACAATCTGAAACTTTCTTTTGGGGAATGTAGAACTGGTGAGCTATAATTACAAAAGTCCGATACTTTGCAATATAATAAATTCCTATAGAAAGGTTTCAAAGATGAATTTGCTTACGGGAAATAAATGAATGGTCAAAAATAGAGTTGACATGTTTGATTACTTGGACAACTTGGCCAAACATTTTTGCTAACAATGGTTCTATGTTAGATGACTTCTTTATAGCTCTCTATGGATGAGTCAGTCTTAGGATTGTGCAGTGCTTCGGTTTCAGTTCCCAAAAGATGCTTCAGAACACATAAATTTATAAGCAGAACAGTTGCCTGCAACTGTTTAAAGCAGCTGTGTCAGGTCTCATGATTTTGAGAAGACCAGGCTGCTTTAAAAAGTTGCAGGAAGTCTTACACTGAAATTTACATGCTTCTGAAGCACCTTTTTGGAATCAAATCCAAAACGCTGTGCACTCATAGTAAGCACCATCCTTTTTATTCTGGAATCTTTTCAGCATCCTATGAAATAGTTTATTTGCAGATCAGCAGAAGCAGAAGTGCGGATCCATTTTAGTAAATGTGTGGCTGACAGAATGGTTTATCCAGGGGCTAATTCAGATTGTGTGGTCTTTGCAGAAGAAAAGAATGCTATGAACATTTGGTTTGGGTTTCTTTTGTTTTTTTTGTTTTTCATAGCGGTAATACCCCTGTGACCAGAGAACAAAAGCGAAAGTATGTGATCTCATCAAGAGAGTAAAAGAATTGAAATGGAAATGGGTTGGTCACATAGCAAGAAGAACTGATGGCAAGTAGACCAAGGCAGTCATAGAATGGATCCCACTTGATAAAAAGTGTCCACAAAAGAGACCTAAAACAAGATAGATCAATGACATCAGCAAGAAAGCTCAGAAGCATATAGGTTGGAAACATGCAGAAGAAGCCTTCATCCTACAGTGGATAGACAATGGCTAAAATGAGACGATGAGGATGAATGCCCATGTCTACTTGCTATTTTTTTCATCCTCTTCAGGAGCGGTTTAAAAAGCACCCCATCTTGCAGACTTTCCCGATCCGAGTCAGAGCAGCGATGCCAAATCCCAGGTGGAAAAATGTGCAGCGGCAGAGGCCAATGTGACTGTGGGGTCTGCATCTGTCAAGTGACTGAGCCAGGCAAATATTATGGGCCATTATGTGAATGTCATGAATGGGTATGTGAAACCTATGGTGGAGAAATCTGTGCAGGTAAGCGAGATGCAGCAATTCCAAAAGCTTCCACGGTATGTTTAAGGACCGGTCCTGGCAATTTTACATCTATCTGAACCAGTGTTAGGCTTTAGCAAATTATGGGCATTTTTCATTGGATTCTTTTAAATTTCTCAGTGTAGATAAATGAAGCCACCAACAGAATTAGAATTAAAATGGCACATTCATTGAAGGACAATAGCAAAACAACAACATCAACAACATCCCAACAGTGTTATAGAGTCAAAATTCCTCATCCTCTCCATCTTTAAATATTTGGGTCCTTTGTAAAACTGAACAGAAATTGTAACTGAACTGATATTTCTTTGACTGATATCACTTTTGATGGACTAGCATTAATTTGATACCTATTTACATTCCATCTTAACTATGAAGGCTCTTGGGCTTCTAAATCTTTTTTTTTCTGACAAACCACTATTTAGATCTATTTAGGCGTATCCATGTAATGTGATGCTGTACAACAATAGCATGTCATTAGTGACTATTAGAGATAAATAATTTACTGTAGTATTTCATATTAGGAATATGAGTGATCTGGATTTGAAAGGGAAAATATGATTTGAAGTATATATGGCTATGCACATAGCGCTGGTTATTATCTCTTTAGTTCAAACATGCCCTTTCCTGCCCCTGCATGAACTATGCATTGACTAAATGTTACTTTTAGTTCTACATTGTATTGACCTTAGAAGATTTGGAGGGGCTCATAATATAAGTCAGGATCTAGATCAGTGGTTCCCAACGTGGGGCCCATGCCCCACACGGGGCAATTTGAATTTTAACGGGGGCAATTTGAACCTTGTTTATACCAAGTTAATGGCCTTTTAGGCTTCCTCCGCGTGAGTAGAGTTCCCTTTTTGAGTAAAGTAAGAATTATAGGTCACCGGGGGGGAGGGGGGGATCAGGATTTTAGAGATGCTTAAGTGGGGCATGGCAAAAAAAAAGTTGGGAACCACTGATCTAGATGCACCCTTGGTTCTCAGTTGCCATGTCAGTTCCTCGTACACTCAACTTCTTTCATACTAGCATCTCAGATCATATAGAGATGACTTCTAGGGACAATATCGAGTGTGACACAGAAAAACCAAGAGTCCAAGTAGCTATACAGATTTCATGCTAGGAAATTCAAGAGCATCCTTAGTTTGAGTGTCATTAGTATTAGGGCTCTGATATTTGGATTTGGTTTTTTGGGGGGCTGGTGTTCTGTCCCCGTTTCACACACACACACAAACAGATAGTCAGGGGTTAAATAAAACTGGCAGACAACAAATTCTTTCGATAAGAGGATTGGCAGCAACCCAGTAGCTGCTTGCCAAGAACTTTACTCATAGAGGGAGGGGTTGTTCCTCCGACAGATAAATCCAAACAAGATACACACAGTTCAAGAATTGTCAAGTCCAGTCCGTATTAAATCCAAGGCAGATAACGTTGTTTCAAAGATACAATGTGACTCGCTAGTAGTTAGTTTTGTCCGTCACAGAGTCTGAATGGCCACCTCACCCCTTTTATCCCCTGTGGGGTGTGGTCCAGTGACTCAGCTTAATCTCTGGCACGCCTCCTTTTCTGCTGCGTGTGCTTGTCTCTCCGACGCTGGCGTGGATCCAGCCAAGACTTATCTCCGTCACTGTCCGATTGCGAGGAGATACCTGGCTCCTGGCCAATCTCTTCTCCTGCGGGAAACACCTGAGGGATTGCCAGAGAGGAGGGTCCTGGAGAGGGAGGCCTGGCCAACTCCTCTCCTTCATGTTCGGAGCCTTCTCCCTCCAATAAGTCGGCCTCGGGGGTCGGAGTCACAACAGCAGGGGTCGTGGAAATCCTTTGAGTCACTTGACTGTGTTGTTGTTGTTGTTTTTGGCAAGATTTCTGAAATGACTAGGGCTGAGAGAGCATGACGACCAAAACCACCTAACTGGCTTTGTGCCTGAAGCCAGGATTACAACAGAGTCTCCCAGATTTTAGCCTGGTGCCTTAACAACTCTCTGACACTGCAATTGGAACACTCAATTTCTTTCCTATAGTTTAAGACAGAATTGAAGCTTATTTATTTTTTGAAGTTTAATACTGTTAATGGTTTTAGCTTTTGTATTTTATATCTGTTACATTCTAAGATTGTTTTTATTTATATTTTTTCCTATAAATACTTTGTATGTTACCCAGAGCTCCTAAGGGGGTCATATACTTTATTTCAATAACTAGATAAGGTGAATTATGTTCTGATTACTGGTCCAAGAAAGCAGTTTCCAGGTTTCTGATAAATTTAGTAAGGAAGTTGCTTTTAAATACTTCCCCCACCATATTATGCAGTCTGATTTACACCTACTATACATAATGCAGGATCTCCAAATTGATTTTCCTTTTTCAGATACAGTATGCCAGGTAATCTAACAATCTTTTTTTAAAACTAGTGATTCATTCCTGCTTATTCAGTTAAAGATAATCAAATGCTTACTTCTGTTTACATAGTGCACTGATGATAGAGGAATGGGTATGAATTTTCTGATTAGATTCACAAAATCAATCAGTGTCTGGATCTAGTCACCCTCCCTTCTTTTTGCACTGTGGAATTGTGCTCTTTATATATTCTGTGCATTCTTTACTCTTTGTTTTGACTTTTATTGCAATTAGAATTAGGCAGATATTACATTAGGTATATAAAAACATTTCCTACCCAGTATTCCCCTTAGACATACCACAATGTCAGACCTACTCAGATTAGTGTGTATTTCAACATCTATTGTGCATTAAAAAGTAAGATTCTGGCACATGTCTACTGGATTATAGACACTTACCAGGGACTAAGCACTGTAAGACACACTCATTTTTTTTGAATATACATGCATAGATTGTTGCACAAGGAAGTCTTAACTATTGAGCAGCTTTGATCTGATGAGAATAGAAACCATTGTAGACTATAAATAATACTTGTATTTTCAACTATTCTAATAGCTAACTTTCTGTTGTCAAGAGTTTTGTAAATCTCAATATAAGGAAACAGAGGAAAACATAATTTCCTCGTTCGTCAAAGTACAGGATATATTTTTTTTCCAGATCACATCCTCTCTTAACATTTGTCCCCTTTCCATGAAACGTGTCAGTTTTTTAGGCCAGAGCCCACAATTAGGTCAGTTAGAACGTTACAAGAGAATGCCAATAATAACAAATGCATGCCAGCAATGTGCTTGGAAGATATTATAGGAAAAAATTAATACTAACTCGTTTTAGAATCAACTTTATTAAATGGAAAATATTCAATGTCCAAGTAAAAAAACCATAGTGCGATGCTTATTTTGATAATCTATATCGTACAGAAAATGCTTATTATATATATAAGGCTAGAAGCTATTAGATATAGTCATACATTTACAGTTATCTAGTTCTCAGGACAGTCACATATTTACATTTAGGAATATTTTCAGTGAAAACCCTGTCTTTTTTAAAAAAAGAGCAGTGTTCCCATATGTGAGGGAGAGTGCCTTCTCTCTTTAGCCACCAGATTCAGAATTTCGTTCTGTGTCAGAATCATGTTTTCAGCTCTGTTTGAGCCTTCGTGGCAATCACAATTGATTTGGGATCTCATAGCCTATCAAAATTGTTCATGGATTGAAGTCTGTGAGGGCAAACAAAACCACATTGCCCTCTTCAAGGGGGGATAACGTGCAACTGGACTAGCTATCTCTGCCATTTAGTTGTTATTGTTATGCAGTGGTGGCTTCAGAGTGGAAATTTCTGCTGTTTTCAGTATAAAATGAAATTGAAATTTGGCATTACCAATATTTATTCTGAAACGTAACTCTGAAACGTTCTGTCATACTCGCCATGTCACGTTGCCATCACGTGACTTTTGCAATATTCCCCATTTGCAGAGCTGGGGTGGGCGTGGCCTGCGTGTGATGCATCCGGCCCATGGGCCGCCAGTTTGACACCCCTGTCTAGAAGAATTGGCTTTTCAGCACTAAACCTCCCTGAATCCCATGGCATTTTAGTGCTGGGCCAGGAGGAGAATCAGGATCACATTGTTTAACTGTCAGACACTTTGAGTTCATAACATTCACAAATTTCTTTCCTCTATATTAGTGATGGCTAACCTTTTCCGGACTGAGTGCCCAAAGCATGCATGCGTGAATGCATGAATGCATGCGCGTGCCTGAACCCCCAAAGTACAACGTGGCACATGCACATGCCCTGCGTATGTGCCCTCGAGCATGCATGCGTGCTCCCCACATGCACCCCGCGCATGCGCAGCAGAGACCCAAAGACCAGCTGGCTGGCGGGAGACATGCGCGCATGTGCAGCGGAGCTGAACTGTGGTGATGGCTTGCATGCCATCAGAAAGGGCGCTGCGTGCCATAGGTTCTCCATCATGGTGCTATATAATACTATTACATAGAACTTTGTTTTTTATAAAGCAGGCGGTGCTTTATACATCAGGTGCTTAAAAGGATTGTATTAAAATAGATTTAGATCATGGAGGTAAATGAAGAATTCCATATCTGAAATCCTGGAGCATTTAAGGGCTTAAACATTATGAAAATTCTCACCTAAGAGCACAAACAAATCTCTCTTTTGAGACAGCAGTTAATAAAGTTTTAAATATTTTGTGTTTGGATGTGGGTTTGTATTTATTTCCTGCAGATATGAATGCATATGAATGAACAATAAAATCTAAAACAATTAACACTGGGTCACAATATACTTCAAATAACAGGAGCCTGAGTGGCGTAGGAGGCTAATGCCTCCTAAGGCAGCATTTAACATCCAGCTGCCTGCAATTACTGCGAGTTCAATTCTTACCAGGCTCAAGGTCGACTCAGCCTTCCATCCTTTCTAAGGTGGGTAAATTGAGGACCCAGTTTGTGGGGGCAATAAGCTGACTTTGTATAAATGTACAAAAGTATGAAGGCTATTGCTTAACGCATTGTAAGCCGTCCTGAGTCTCTGGAGAAGGGCGGCATATAAATCAAATAAAAAAAAAAAACCAA